ACTTCAATTAAATCTTCTCTTAGAATGCTCCTCTCTGAAAAAAAATGCTCCAACTTCTAAAAGCTATCTGGACACTCATGCTACCAACTTACCAACTTATCAACTTCCTCAAAGTCCTGAGGAAGGGTCACCGGACCCAAAATGTTAACTCTGATTTTCTCTTCACAGATGCTGCCGGACCTGCTGGGCTTTTCCAGCAATTTCTGTTTTTGTTCCTCAAAGTTCTGCACTGCCCTCCTCATGGTTAACAATGTTCCAAATAGCTTAAAATTTATTTTGTTTGAACAGTTATTTCATTTACCTAGGCAGGAATTTAGTCATTGAAGCACAAGTTATTCAGCTATCAAATTAAAGGGCACTGTTATAAGGGTTACATACTTGCTTGGCTAAGGGTAGCACTTCTGAACCTAAATCTACTTTTCCAGTCACTGTTTGTGCAGATATGTGGAATGCACCTGAAATCCGACAGTGTTGTCATAAATGCAAGATGGTTGGGGGAAGACAAACCGTGAAGCTGTTTCATGACAGTATTTGCTTTATTCTATGATTTAAATGTCCAACACCATGAACAGCCACTTTGCCGTTCCTTTGAAAGGATAAGTATGTAAGGTAAATGAGGGATTAGGGTGCCTGATGGGTGTGGCACTGGACAGCAGGGTTCCAGGGTACCAGGTGAATGGGGTGCAAGGTAAACCATTGAGTGTTTCTAGTGGGTCAAGAAGACCAGAAGACCATAAGATGTAGGAACAGAATTAGCCATTTAACACATTGAGTCTGCCCCACTATTCCATCATGGCTAACACATTTCTCAACACCCTTCTCCTGCCTCCTCCCCATAACCCTTGATTACCCTTACTAATCAAGAACCTATCTACCTTAGTCTTAAAGACACTCAATGACTCAGCCTTGAAGTGTTGTCTAAGGATCTTTGGTGAATTTCTGCAGTGCATCTTGTAGATAGTACACACTGCTGCTACTGAGCATCAGTGGCGGAGGGAATGGATGATTTTGGATGTGGTGCCAATCAAGTGGGCTGGTTTGTCCTGGATGGTGTCAAGCCTCATGAATGTTGTTGGGGCTGCACCCATCCAGGCAAGTGGGGAGTATTCCATCACACTCCTGACATGTGACTTGTGGACAGTCTTTGGGGTAGTCAGGTGACACGAACGCGACGAGGCCTGGGTGGGGGGAGGAGAGTGGAGAAGAGGGCATCTGATACCAGGGTGTGGAGGAGGGAGAGGGAGAGTTAATCTACTTTTGTTTGCAATTTATATAAATTTAGGAGACATATTTAGTAAGTCTGCGGATGACACCAAAATTGGTGGTATAGTGGACAGTGAAGGAGGTTATCTAAGATTACAAAGAGATCTTGATCAATTGGGTCAATGGGCTGAGGAGTGGCAGATGGAGTTATATTTGGATAAATGTGAGGTATTGCATTTTGGTAAAACAAACAAGAACAGGACTTATGCAATTAATGGTAAGACCCTGGGTAATGTTATAGAAGAGAGAGACCTGGGGGTTCAAGTACATTGTTCTTTGAAATCTGTAGACAGGGTTGTTGAGAAGGCATTTAGCATGCTTGCCTTCGTTGCTAAGACCATTGAGTGCAGGAGTTGGGGTGTCATGTTAAGATTGTACAGGATGTTGATAAAGCCTCTTCTAGAGTACAGCTCACAGTTCTGGTTGCCCTGCTATAGGAAGGATATTACTAAATTAGAGAGTATTTACAAAAGATTTACCAGGATGTTACCAGGAGTGGAGGATTTGAGTTATTAGGGTAGGCTGCATAGGCTGGGACTTATTTCACTGGAGTGTAGGAGGTTGAAGGGTGACCTTATGGAGGTTTATAAAATTATGAGGAGCATGGATACGGTGTGTAGCAAATGGTTTATTTTGACTGAAAACAAAAATGCTGGAAATCACAGTGGGTCAGGCAGCATCCATGGGGAGAAAACAAGCTGAAGTTTCGAGTCTAGATGACTCTTCATCAGAGCAATGGTGGAGTGGGATTGGAGGGGGTGCGGGGGGAAGGATGTTGATAGTTTGGTTTAAGTGATCGGAATGTGAGAATGGCAGAATAATGGCGTGTCTAATGCCAGACTGGAAAGAACAGACAGTCCCACTGGGATGGGGGAGCAGGAGAGACGACATGGTGACAGAGGATGTAACAAGTAAAGCTAAAAGAAAGAGAAAGAAGGGAGTGGGTTCACAATTTGAAGGTGTTGAACTCAATATTAAGTCCACAAGGCTGTAAAGAGCCTAGCCTGAAGACGAGATGTTGTTCCTCCAGTTTTCGCTGTGATTCACTGGAGCACTGCAGCACGCCGAGGACATACACATGGGCATGTGAGCAGGACAGTCAGCTACAGGAAGGTCAGGGTCATGCATGCACACAGACTGGAGGTGTTCTACAAAGTGGTCACCCAGTTTGGTTTTTCCAATGGACAGTAGGCCACATCGGGTGCAGCAAATACAATAGATCAGATTGGAGGAGGTACAGGTGAAATGCTGCTTCACCTGGAAAGACTGTTTAGACCCTTGGATGGTGAGCAGGGAGGAGGTGAAGGGGCTGGTGTTGCACCTTCTGCGGTTACATGGGAAGGTGCAATTGGAAGGGAGATGTGGTGTCAGTGGTTGAGTAATGGACAGGGTTGTCCCAGAGGGAAGAATCCCTGCGAAATGCAAACTGGGGGAGTGAGGGGAAGATGCGTTTGGTGGTGGCGTTCTGCTGGAGTTGTCTGAAATGGCAGAGGATGATCCTTTGAAAGCGGAGGCTGGTGGGATGAAAAGTGAGGACAAAGGGGGATCCGATCACGCTGTCGTGAGTGATGGGAAGGGGCAAAGGTGGAAGCACAGGTGGTAGGTCAGATGCAGTTGAGGGCCCTGTCAATCACAGTGGGCAGGAAACCATGGTGTTGGAAGAAGGAAGCCACATCAGCAGCATTGTTTTGGAAGGTGGTATCATCTGAACAGATACGATGGAGGTGAAGGAAATGGGAGAATGGGATGGAGTCCTTGCAGGACATGGGGTGTGAAGAGCTGTAGTGAAGGTAGTATGGGAGTTATTGGCTTTTACTGGATGGCAGAGGACAGTTTATTCTCCGAAACAGAGACGGAGTGGTCAAGGAAAGGAAGAGAAGTGTTGGAAATGGACAATGTGAAATTTCTCTATTTCCGGTCCAGACCTTTGCTTTATGGGAGATTTTAATGGGTAAAAACGCATACAAATACCAAAGTTCAAATTCAACATTTCCAACCAAAATGCGCTAAAGCTGGAAATGCGAGGTCCTACAATATAATCTACAAACATGGCGTTCATTTATACTTATTTGAAAACAGTCCAAGTAAACAATGCTTGACTACACAGTTATTAAAATAGAAGGATTAAATTTGGGTTCTTCATGCCTCGCTTTATCTGAATGACAAATGATCAATTTCTGTTTTCTTTTCGTGAATGGTATAAAGCTCCCTGGCCCTTTTTTCCATAACGCAACATGAATCATGTTGTAGAACATAGAACATAGAACAGTACAGCACAGTACAGGCCCTTCGGCCCACGATGTTGTGCCAAACTTTTACCCTAAACCTAAGGTCTATCTAACCTCCACCACTACCTTATACTATCATCCATATGCCTATCTAATAGCTGCTTAAATGCCCCTAATGAGGCCAACTCCACTACCCTCTCTGGCAATGCATTCCACGCCCCGACCATTCTCTGAGTAAAGAACCTACCTCTGACGTCTCCCCGATATCAACCTCCTTTCACTTTAAAACTATGTCCCCTCGTAAAAGCTACCTCCACCCTAGGAAAAGGTCTCTGGCTGTCTACTCTATCTATACCTCTGATCATTTTGTACACCTCTATCAAGTCACCTCTCATCCTTCGTCATTCTAAAGAGAAAAGCCCTAGCTCTCTCAACCTTTCCTCGTAAGACCTTCCCTCCATTCCAGGCAACATCCTCTGCACCTTTTCCAACGCTTCCACATCTTTCCTGTAATGAGGCGACCAGAACTGGACACAATACTCCAGATGTGGCCGAACCAGGGTTTTGTATAGCTGGAGCATAACTTCACAGCTCTTGAACGCAATCCCTCTATTAATGAAAGCTAACATACCATATGCCTTCTTAACAACTCTATCCACCTGGGTGGCAGCTCTCAGGGAACTGTGGAAATGAACCCCAAGATCCCTCTGCTCCTCCACGCTGCCAAGAATCTTTCCGTTAACCCTCTATTCTGCTTTCAAGTTTGTCCTACCAAAATGAATCACCTCACACTTTTCAGGGTTAAACTCCATCTGCCACTTCTCAGCCCAGCTCTGCATCCTATCAATGTCCCTTTGTAACCTAGAACAGCCCTCCGCACTGTGACCCACCTTCGTATCGTCCGCGAACTTGCTAATCCACCCTTCCACTCCTTCATCCAAATCATTTCAGATTGCGGAAATAATATGGATATGTGTAAAGTGATGTGACCAGCTACTCACGATGGCTTGGGAGAAGACTGCTGATGCACTGAGTGAAGTGGGATGATGTTTAGATAAGAATTAGGATTTAGATTGCTGATGATCCTCAATACCAAAAGGGATCAATTGAAAAGGGCTAGGATGGTCTCCTCAATGAATTTTAAAATTGCATTTAGCCAAATTAGAAATGGCCAGTATCTGAAGGTTTATAACAGTCCACTGTTTGGAATTATTTAGATATGAGTGTCTCTGCAATATTTGCTCACTGTAACATCTAAAATTAGTCCTTCAAGGATTCCTGAAAGGCTGACACTATAGAAATAAGACTGCAAAACAACACTCAGCGGCTGGGTCTTTTGACAGTTTCTACAGAACCATGTATGGGTAAAGATTTCTTGTTTAAAAATAAAACTTGAAATGATTCCAGTGGAGCATCAAAGCTGTATGGCTCCAAGTACAGAAAACAGAATGACTTCCATGTTTAGATTGCAAAGAGAATAGAGTCGTAACATTTTTGGCAGTGACTACATTACCTGGCACACCTTGAGCAGATGTTGAGTATAACTTTAGCTTGAGGTTCTGCAGAATACAAACTTCGACCTTGGCTAAACCTGCTACCCGAAGGCACATGGTCAGTGATGCCCTCCATCCTCAAGTCATCCAGGTCTTCTGCAATTCAAAGAGAATTTGATGACACATCTTTCTAAAATAAATGCATCTGATTAAAATAAATTGCAACTTACCCAGCAAAGACACATCGTATTTCTAACTCGTAAGATTCAAACCTTATTAGGACAGTCATAGAGTTGTACAGCATGGAAACAGATCCTTTGGTCCAACTCGTCCAGGTCGACAAGATATCCTAAATTAATTTAGTCCCATTTGCCAGCATTTGGCCCATATCCCTCTAAACCCTTCCTGTTCATATACCCATCCAGATGTCTTTTAAATGCTATATTGGTACCTACCTCCATCCTTCCTCTGGCAGCTCATTCCATACACATACCACCCTCTGCATGAAAATGTTGCCCCTTGGGTCCCTTTTAAATCTTTCCCCTCTCACCCTAAACCTACATGCTCTAGGTTTGGACTCCATTACCCTAGGAAAAGCCCTTGGCTATTCACCTTATTCATGCCCCTCATGATTTTACAAACCTCTGAAAGGTCACCCTCAGCCTCCAATTCTCCAGGGAAAATAGCCCCAGCCTATTCAGCCTCTCCCTATCGCTCAAACCTTCCAACTCTGGTAACATACATGAAAGTCTTTTCTGAACCTGTTCAAGTTTCACTACATCCATCCTATAGCAGGGAGACCAGAACTGAACACAGCATTCCAGTGGCCTAAACAATGTCCTGTACAGCCACAACATGACCCCCCAACTCCTATACTCAATGCACTGACCAATAAAGGCAAGCATACCAAATGTCTTCTTCACTACCTTGTCCACCTGGGACTCCACTTTTAAGGAAATATGAACCTGCACTCTAAGATGTCTGTTCAGCAACACTCCCCAGGACCTTACCATTAAGTTTATAAGTCCTGCCCTAACTTGCCTTCCCAAAATGCAGCACCTCACATTGATCTAAATTAAACTCCGCCTGCCACTCCCTAGCCCACCGGCCCATCTGATCAAGGTCCTGTTGTACTCTGAGGTAACCATCTTGGCTGTCTGCCATACCCCCAACTTTGGTGTCATCTGCAAACTGACCAACCATACCTCTTATGTTCAAATCCAACTCAACTGGAACTTTTTGGGATTAATTTCTGTTTTTTTCAAATCAACTGTAAGCTGCTGCAAAAATGGCCCCACAAAAGATGTAATGATTTTAAGTCATTTCAGCACAAACAACTAACTCAGGTCTCTAGCATGTCATTAAAACATAAACGTTTATAGGTGGAGGGCTACCAATTCAAAAGATATTCAGAATGTCAGATCACTTGTTGAATTCACAACTTCCGTCGTATTTATTGAAACTCAAATTTAATGGCTTACTGTCCGTAGTTGTGAACTTAAAAAGTAGAGGTGTGAAGGAACAATTTATCACAAGCAGGGGTGAGTGTTGTCCTTTGTGTAGCAAGGGCTTCAAACATTGTATCATCCATGTCGATAATAAAAATATTGATTGTAAGAATAAAATGATTGTGATGAGCAACATTTTAAACTAAGTGGGTCATTATCTTTGCACACTGCACTGTTAAGAGAAATTAAGGGACTCTTCACAAACAAGACTCATGCTCATTCAAGTCTGTAGGCACGATGTCACAGCTTGCATCAAGTGTATAATTTCTTGATTTGTGTAAATTAGAATATTATCCTTGAATATTTCTGGTACAGACCTTTGGACTATGGGAGATTTTAATAGTTAGAACCTGTACAATTACTACCAAGTTCAAATTCAACATTTCTAACCCAATTGCAAGAAAGCCGGAAATGCAACGTCCTACAATATACGCCACGCTACCCTTCATTCATGGTGTTCATTTATACTTGTTTGGAAACCGTCCAAGTATACAATGCTTGAATATAAAGTTATTAAAATGTAAGGGTTAGCATTGGGTTCTTCATGCCTGCCTTTATCTGAACGCTTTATCATATGTTAGAAACTGAGTAGAACAAACATAACTTTTTATTCCAAGGACCAGCTAGAGGCAAGTGAGTCTGGAGAACAACAGGACATCAGAGGGTCATCCTCCATTGCCAAGAAAGGGACATTGTCAACCCATCGGATTCAATGGGCTTCACCTTCTCCAGAAAGTTGGCCAATACTTCGTATGGAATCCAGAATTTTTCAACCTTAGTTTTTAGTTTTAAGGTACCACAAAATCAAACCCATTAAACCTGCAAAGCTCACAGGTTAAAGGACTAATTTAAACACGTGATTTTCTCCTCGTCATTCTGTAATAACTTAAGTGCATGCTTTGTCTCCTGAATTCATCTTTATATGTGTTTAAGGAAGTGAATGTTTTCATTGCATTTCCACAGAGGAGGCGATGGCCCAGTGGTATTGTTGCTGGACTGTTAAGCCAGAGACCAAGGTAATGACCTGGGTTTGAATCCTATCGTGGCAGATGGTAGAATTTGAATTCAATAAAAATCTAGAATTAAGAGTCTAATGATAACCAGTTGTCTGGGAAAAACCTATCAGGTTGACAAATGTCCTTTAGGGAAGGAAACTGCCATCCGTACCTGGTCTGGCCTACATGTGACTCCAGACCCACAGCAATGTGGTTGACTTTTAACTGCTGTCTGGGCAACAAATGCTGATCTAACCAGTGACGCCCTCATTCTGTGAATAAATAAAACTTCTGCGTGTCATACAAATAAGTATAAATTTTTCTTCTGACTTAAACTTACTGGAAAGACTATGTTGTGTCTAATCTGTAAAGTCACAGCACCGAAGAGAAGTTTAAACACTTCTTGCACAAACATATACCCTGCTGTAAACAAACAAGAAGTGAGGAAAAAGGGGAAAATTTAACCCACCACACTGCTCCATCCATAACAAATTGTGGCTCACTTTGGATTGGAAACCATTGTATGAGTATAAAACGTTGTGGATATTTTGATGTTCAGCAAAAAAGGGACGCAGAATGGAAAGTGAAAGATCTGCTTGGTCCCGTGAGTCTGTGTGCATGCGTACATTTGTATCACTTTGTGTCTGTGCGTGTGCCTGCGCTTGTGTCTGTGTGTGTATGTGTCTCTGAGTGTGTGCCTGCTCCTGTGTCTGTGTGCGTACATCTGTGTCTCTGTTAATGGGTACATGCATTTTTGTCTGTGTGTGTGCACACATTTGTGTGTGTGTGTGTGTGTGTGTGTGTGTGTGTGTGTGTGTGTGTGTGTGTG